AACGGGTAGTATATATATATATATATATATATATATATATATATATATATATATATATATATATATATAGTTTGTCCCTTATATTTTTTCATTTTTCAGATTAAACCTCAATTTTATTATTTTTTTCTATAAAAAAATATTATATATTTTTTTATCTTGGAAGATTTCTTACATTCATTTACATAATTTAATGAGAGATGTTCCTAACTATAGGATGATTTAGAGTAAATCTACAAAAATTATGCTATAAATCCATTGCTTGACAAAGGCTTCAATTCTATTCCACGTGGCTTTCATCGATGGAGGTTAGCCTTCATCGATGTGGTCAAGCACATTGCAAGCACATATGATGATCTGAAAAATTTCAACCCAAGATGCGTAACGATCATTGGTTTGATCAAGAGTTATTGACATCGAGTTTCTTATGTTAGTAATGGGGAAAGAAGGTTCAAAGTTGCTCTTTGTTATTCTAGGTAGGACTCGATAAACCTTTATATGAAAAAGTTCAACCCATGATACGCAACCGGTGATCGTTATGCACTTTCGGTTGAACTTTTTCAAGATCATTACATGGGCATATAGTGTTCTTGACCACATCAATGAATCAATGTGGAAAAGAGTTGATGTAATCGTCAAGTAATGGATTGACATAACCGTCTCACTCGATTTACTCTAGAACTATCATGAAGTTGTAAGCATCTGCCATGGCGTTACAGAAAAGAATTTTGACACAATAATCCATAAGTTGGGTAGGTTTTATAGATTTTGTCCCTGTAACGATTTTTGGTTCATTAATGTTGGAAGTATGCAACGTTTTTTTTATTTTTATTTTAAATTTTATGCATTTGCGTATTTTTGGTTCACTAAAGCCCTTAAGTTTGATAGAAATATTTGATTTTAACTTTTTTTTTGTTATGGTTCATTAAAGCCTTTATGTTTGATAAAATTTCTGGATTTTATTTAAACCTATAAAAAGGTAAAACTTAAAATATAGTTGCAAACTTTGGTTTTAATTAACTTAAAATCATTGCACAAACAAAACTGACATAACTTATCAAATTTAAGGACTTTTATATCAAAATCTCAATATGGAAACTAATGCAAGACATTTTGCGATATAACCAAGATGTCAGGATTTTGTTTTAGCTAGAGGTTTAATCTGAAAAAATAGAAAATTTAAGTGCCAAATTGAAAAAAAAATGAAATTATAAGGTCTAAATTGAGTAAATGATAAACGTAAGGGCCAAATTCAAAAAGAAAAAGTAGAGGCTTTTTTTTTGATAAAAAAGTATAGAATTAAATACAAACTATTCGGTCGTTAAAATCCGCTTGATTGGCATCATTGCGAAGAAAATCATAAAAGAAAAAGGCTTTCAATTCATGTTGGACCAATCCGAAGTAGATGTTTTCAACTCCCCTTTTCCTAAGGCACAAGATGACATCGTCAATATGCAAGGCAACCTTGAAAACGAATATAAAAACGTACTGGTGAAATTGCATATACATTTTCATTTGCAAATTGCAAATGTTCAATTCCTTTAGGAAAAAACGTTGATAAATATAACTAATATTTACCAATATAAACAAAGGTTTGATGAACAAAAATTAATGTAGTATGATAGCATGCACCTCTGCGGTCGGTTTACGTCTCTAAGTAATAAATATATAAATTAACTAGGTTATAACCCGTGTAGTAAACGGTTGACAAAATAAAAATAAAGACTAAATATCATAATAATTAATCATAATTTTGCAAAAAGTTTCTTTTATACAACATTGAATGTTATCTGTAACTATATCATGGTTATTTTTAATCCATTTTTACTTTATATTAAAATACCATTTCTATTAGAAATACATTGCTATAAAATGCTTTGAAAATGCAATTTTTGCAACATTTTCACCTTACTAAAACAATCCTATTTTGACCAAAATATGTTCGATTTACACAATTTTTACCAAATGCCAACACAAGCCATATTTTACCAATTTCACTTTGTCAAATTGTCCCATTTTACAAGAATGTGCTCATTTTAGTCAATTATACTTGATATAAAAATGTTCATTTAAAATGCTATAAATTGCTTTAAAATGCTCTTTTTGCATGTATAATCAACTTTAAAAAAAACCATTGTCACCTTATGCCAAAACAGCCATTTTTTACCATAAAAAAGTAGAATGCCATAATAATTTGGAGAAAAAAAAATAAAGTATAATGCAATAATAATACTTTGCCGTTTATTACAATGTAGGATGCCATAATAATAATAATAAAAGAACACCATAATAATTTGGAAAACAGAATAAAGTAAAATGGTGTAATTAGGTAGGTTTCGAGCCTGTAATTCCGTAATAACAATAAAAAAATTAAAATATAACTGTCAAATTTATCAAAAAAAAAGCATCAAAATAACTAAATTAACAAAAAAAAAGTGTCATAACTGTCATTTTTTTGGAAAAAATCTCATTCATTCATTCCCTGTTATACAAATTACTGGAATGCTCCCTCTCATAAATAAAAATATTTGAAGGATGGTCCTGTTTAAATTAAAAAAAACACATGCAGCATCCTCTTTAAAAATTACACTTCAATCATCCTGTAACATATGCAAAATGGATTAAGAGGAGGGGTAATAATGTAATTGTAACGTATGCAAAAATGCAGTAACAGGAGGGGTAATAACGTAATTGTAATTCCTCCAAAAACACTTGAGTACATACACAAATATCAGCCCATTCAATAAGCAACAATATATTGTTATTATGGGGTCATGTTTATTGTATCATCCTACTGTGATACTTATCATGAGGATTATAACATTCTACTTTCAAGATAATATCATTGTACTTTGAATCTATGATGCTATAATTGAAAATCACCTACACAGATACAACAAAATACATGCACGAATAAGCAATCGATTCTATAAACATAAACATGTTATAATTTCATTAACGGTAAAGAAAAAGGGAAAAATGAATAATGCAAAAACATGTAAAGATATAATAAAATTGAACAAAATTACTAACCTTATATGGACCACCAACGATTATGTGTTTAACCTTATATGGACCCTGCATATTAGAAAGAGATGTGTGACACCAAATTTAGCAAATTTAAGCAGAAAATGATTAATTAAAGGCTACTTTAGAGTGCATATCATAAGAACAACAAACATGTCAATATTTCAACACC